TAATGTGTTGTTCCTCAGGTCCCAAGGTCTCTAGCCTATCTACCTTGTTCATCTTCAGAGTCTCCTTATGTTTTATTTGTACTTAGCAGGAAGAATTAGGAAACGTACTTCTATTCCATTTTTCCAGAAGTAGAAGTTTATATTAAATATTGCTTTTTAAAAAAGCTTTGTGTTATGGAGAATTCTAAACCAGCACAGATGTGGAGGGAACTGTCCCATGAACCTTGTGTACCTATCACCTGGCATCAACAACTACCACTCAGGGCCAGTCTTATTTCACCTTCACTTCCATCCCTCTTCCTTCCTCCTGTAGTATTTTGACACAAATCCTAGACCCCACATTTTTCATCCATAAACTTTCACTATGTACCTTTACAAGACATTTTTAGAATACCCACAATATCAAAATCACATCCAAAAAATTAACAATAACTGCTTAATATCATTAAATATTCGGTAACTATTCAAATTTCTAGTTATCTTAAAAATTTCAAGTTTTTCTGTCTATTCAAATTAGATCCAAATAAGGTTCATATATTACAATTGGCCGCTAAGTCTTTTAAGTCTCATTTAATCTCTAGGAGTCTCCATCTCTTCTTTTTCTTTGCCATCAACCTGTTGACCCTGGGTCATTTGTTACTATACTCTGGATTTATAGTCATTCTCCAATAAATAATTTAGCTTAAGAAAAAATAGTGGGAGATTGCTATATATAATAAGATATATAATAAGATAAACTGTCCACACTGTTAGGTAAGAAATGCAAAGTGAAGAAAATACATAGTTTGAACTCATTTCAAAAAAGATAAAAGGCTGGGGGCTGCCCAGTTAGCTCAGTTGTTTAGAGCATGATGCTGATAACACCAAGGTCCAGGGCCAGCAGCCAAAAAAAAAAAAGAAGGAAAGAAAGAAAAGAAAAAAGGCTTAAAAGAAATACCCCAGACTTTGAAGGAAGGAATGGAATTGGCAGTTGGGAGGAAGGCATTCAATTTTTATTTTCTACATTTTTCTTTTGCTTAAAATTTACATAATGATCAGGTCATTTAACAAATATATTTAGGGGGCTGGCCCGGTGGCGCACTGGATAGTGCACCGCTTGGGAAGCGCGGCGGTGCTCCCGCCCGAGGGTTCGGATCCCACATATGGACCGGTTCCCGCTCAGCGAGGCGCGGGGGCAGCACCGAGGGTTGCAGTCCCGTTGCTGGTCCCCGGTCCGGTACGGGGGCAACACTGAGGGTTGCGATCCGTTGCCGGACACGGAAAAAGACAA